CTTTGAAGAGAACACATGCAATGTAGTGTTTGATCTTCATTTTATGGATGTACATAAGTAATACAAGGCTTGTTTTGATTGTACAATTAGAAACAAATGCAATCCAGCGTCACAGTACTTATTCTGTGTGCACTTAGGTTGGTGAATGATAACTCTCACTGGTGTCGGAACCATCATAATCTAGTGGTGTTGGAGATCTGGTAGCCCTTCCTCGCGTGTACTGTCTGGCTCTGGTTGGCCAGCCTTTCCAATTTCCATTTGTGGCATGAGGGTCTCTCACAGATAATCATGCTAATGGGATAGGGTTTTAATGTGTGATAGAGTCCCTGAGAAAAACAATATAGAACCATTTCTTCAAATGGTTCTCACAATCTCCTTCTAAATGCTTTGCTTAACATTGACAGTTATCTTCAATATAATTATGATTTTTTAAATATCAGTCTAAGACATTTCAGAAATGGAGATGCTAAAGGCATGTGTATCAAAATGCTTTTAGTGGATGGCACCTGTGGCTCAGTGGGTAGGGCACCAGCCCCATATACCGAGGGTGGCGGGTTCAAACCCGGCCCCACCCAAACTGCAACAAAAAAATAGCTGGGCATCGTGGGGGGTGCCTGTAGTCTCAGCTACTCAGAAGGCTGAGGCAAGGGAATCGCCTAAGCCCAGGAGTTGGAGGTTGCTGTGAGCTGTGTGATACCATGGCACTCTACTGAGGGTGATAAAGTGAAACTCTGTCTCTACAAAAAAAAAAAAATGCTTTTAGCTGTAGTTTAGCGGAAGACATCACTAAAAGTAGCTCAAATAGTAAAGATTTATTTTTAATTTTACATAACTGGAATCTGGAAGTAGGAAACTTGGAAGCTTGGAAGCTTGAGTCAGTTAACAATACAGCCAACCAAATGTGAGGTCCACATTCTTGGCATCTTTCTGCTTGGCTGTCCTTGGCTTGAGGGCACTGATATCTCAGCCGACTGTAGTATATAGGCATCTCGTGCAGCTAGGGCAACACCTAGCAAAGAAAAGGGACTTTCCTTCGTGTGTTTCTTTTCCTTAGACTGGAAATCCATGACTTCCATCATATGTTCTTGCTGGTCCCCTGGGCTAGGTTTGGGTCATATTCTATGCTTTACCCTCTTTCTAGCAAGGGAATGAGCCCACTATGATTGGCTTGAACAATCTTGCTTTCCCCTGTGGATCAGAGGGAGGCTCTTCCCCACAGGCACAGGGGGTGGTGACACCTGCACTCTGAGGAGCAAGGGGAATGTCTTGGTAAGCTGTAGGCTCCGTGTCACAGGCAAAAACCACATAAAAGCAGAATAAGCAGTCCATATGTGATTAAAAACATCCATTCTTTACCAGAAACGTGTATCTCCTTCTTAAAACATTACAATTTTTTTTTGTTTCTTTGGGATTCAGTATATCACATTTAGCATTAAGAAATTGTTCAATAATTTCCTAATCAAGTCAAAAAAAAAAAAACTCATCAGCTTGAGCCCTTGTCCAGATGTTCTTGCCTACATTGTGCATGTGAGTCTTCTGGTTGGAGCAGGCCAATCTTAACTGACAAGAAAGCTCTTCCTCTGAGATGTCGTGGTCTAGGGGTTCTGCTGCAGCCACTTTGGCTGCTGGGGTCACCATGTTTACTTTCTGGATCCAGGGCTCTAGGTTGTAAATTATAAATGCAACTCAAACCTATTTTAGTAAAAAGGGGAATTAATTGGAAAGCTTACTGAGTATCTCATAGAACCAAAGACAGAGGTAAACACTAATATTCAAGAAGGATTGAGATGTAACTAAGCTTAAAGAAACTCTGAAAGCCTGGTGACATTCGTAAGACCAGAGCTTCTCTTCTGGCTTCTATGTCTCACAAACGGTGGCTTCCTTCTTTTTTAACACTGCAGATTACAATTCTCCAAATGACAGAAGGCATGACTGCCATCGACATCCTAGTTTTATATCTTAGAGCTTTAACTGGACAGAACCAGACTGACCTTTTCACTTCCAGTTCCAAAATCCTAAAGAAAAACTCAGAGAACTCTAGCTTGGATCACATTTACTAGGGTGAAAAAGTACAATGCCATTTGATCCTTTTGGATGAGTTGCCCAGTCAACTCCTGCCTATAAGCAGTATCATACTGTACAAAGGCTGTCTATAGGCCCTGAGGATTTCTTATAAAAACTGTTCATTTACTGTTAAGAAGCTCAGAATGGTAGGATGGGGGTAGGGGGGACAGTTGCACATGAAAAGGGCCCAGCAGAGAGAAGGGGAGGAGGACGCATCACAATCACACATCAACACATCAAGGAAGCACAGCCAGCATTGCCAGCATGAGGCAGAGGGATCTACACCTCCCAGGTCCTTTCAGATTAAATCCTCATGCTTCTCCCAACTGCTTCTTCTTCCCGCCTGCCTTACACCCCTGTTTAATATTTTCTCCCATCACTTTTTTTTTTTTTGAGACAGAGTCTCACTTCACTATTGCCCTCAGTAGAGTGCTATGGGTATCATAGCTCACAGCAACCTCAAACTTCTCGACTCAAGTGATCCTTTTATCTCAGCCTCCCAAGTAGTTGGGACTACAGGTGCCCACCACAATGCTCAGCTAGTTTTTAGAGACAGGGTCTTGCTCTTTTTCAGGCTGGTCTCAAACTCCTGACTTCCAGCAGTCCATCTGTCTTGGCCTCCCAGAATGCTAGGATTACAGGTGCAAGCCTGCAATGGCTATACCTGCTCTCTTTTGGTTTCCATTTACATTGAATATTGAGTCTGTGTGAGTTATTATGGGTTAGATGTGTTTCCTGGAGACAGCAGATACTTTGTTTGTATTTTTTCCATCTATTCAGCTAGTCTGTGTCTTTTGAGTAGAACATTCAGACAGACCATTTATGTTGAGTGATAGCATTGATATACGAGATGCTGTTCTGTTCATCACCAACATGATGAACAGAACAGCTTTGTTATTAACTTTGTTTTCCTCTTGTGCTATAGTTCTATATAACCGGTGAGCTTTGGGGTGATTTTGCAATGTTAGGTATCTATTTGTGCTGATCCATGTATAATGCAATTATGAGTATTTCCTATAAGGCTGATCTAGCCATGACAAATTCCCTCAGTGTTTGCTTGTCTGGAAAAGTCATATTTCTCCATCATTCATGAAACTTAGTTTTGCAGGATACAAGATTCTTGGCTGGCAGTTGTTTTGTTTAAGAAAACTGAAGATGGAGCACCAATTCCTTTTTACTTGTAAGATCTCTGCTTAGAAGTCTGCTGTTAGCCTAATGGGTTTCCCTTTGTAGGTTAGTCATTGCTTTCCTCCTGCTGCTTGTAGAATTTTCTCTTTTATTTTGACTTTGTGAAGGTTGATTGCCATGTGTTTTGGAGAGGTCCTGTTTGCTATAAATCTTCTCAGTGTTCAGTAACTATCTTTTATTTGTATCTCTGGTAATACCAGGGAAGTTTTCCTCAGTAATTCCCTTGAATAGATTTTGTATGTGTTTTGCTCTTCCTTCTCTTCTCCCTCAGAGATTCCTATAATTTGTTTATTAGTTTGCTTCAGATGGTCTCATATTCCTCTAAGTAATCTTTAGTCTTGTTTATTTTCTTTTCTGTATCTTTGAATGACTAAGTTAGTTCAAGAGCCTTGTCTTTGGGTTCTTTCTTCTGCTTGTTTAGCCTGTTGAAGCTTTCTGCTGTATTTTGAAATTCTGATAATGACTCTCATTTCTTTAAGTTCTATTATATCTTTTTTTATGCTGTTTAGCTCTTTGGCAACTTTTATACTTTTTTCATTGAATTCCTGGAATATTTTTTGGCTTCTTTTTCACTTTTCAACTTTCTCTTCAGTTCCATTCATCTTACTTGCCATGTTCTTAATTCCATTTCTGACATTTCAACAATTTCCTTGTGGTTGTGGTCCACTACTATAGATCCATTGTGATCCCTTGGATGTATCTAAATGTTTTGTTTTACATGTTGCCAGAGTTCTCTTGCTGGTTTCTTTTCATCTGAATCTTCTTCTCTCAGCTCAGGACTGATAGGTTTGCATGGCACCCATTCTTTGCTGGGAACTTTCCTACTTAACAAGGAGAAGGAGAGGTCCCTAGGTGGTGCTTTTGTCTCCTAGTCTGAAATGTTGATTTGACAGGGCAGGGGAAGGTGCACTGAGAGCCTATAGTACATCTATTCTGGTTTGTCCCTTTCCCTGTAATTGTCACATTTCAATTCAGTGCTAATATCACCAAATGATATTCTTCATTTGGTGTGGTGGTTTGTTCCCCAGATTGTTGTTGGAAGCTTGAATTAGAGGCTGAGTAAGACCCTCTCCGTGGAAACTGGGATTATTGGAAATTGCTCTGCCCAGGGTCTCCCCTCTCAGGTGACGATGACAGCTGAGTGAGACGATCTAAGAAGAGGTTATGAGTATCTGGGCTGTTGACCTTTGGTTGAAATAGGTCCAGGTATAATGGCAGAGGAGTGTTGGACCTCAGGTAGTTCGGCAGGCCCAGCATCAGTGGTCATAAGTTGGAGGGAGTTTCTTGGACTCCAGACCCAGTACTGGAGGGTAGAATCATGGACCTAGCAGGAGCACTGGAGCTAAAGGGGCAGAGGCAGAGCTTCAGAACCCAGGGGCAACGCTGGAGACTCACAGGGGTGGAGCCATGCTCTCAACAGCTGTGAATAGATAGAGCCTCAGACCCACTGGCTGCAGAAGCCTCAAAGCTTCTTGGCCTGGACACAGGGCAGGAGTTACAGGCAGCACCATGGGAAGAGACCACAGTGGCAGGAACCACAGAGGTAGAGCCACTTGGGTGGGGGTTGGTTCCAGCAGCACAGGTCATACCTATACTTTAGAATTATAATAAAGGAAAATCTCATTATTGCTGTGCCACAGGGAAAAACTGGAAATACTTTAAAATTGGTTGCTCTATTCATAAACAAAGGCAGAATTACCTGTTCTCTAATTCCCTCACTTACATAAAATCTATTATTTCTCCAACAGGTTGTTTGGCTTTTATAAGGGAATCCTACCACCCATCTTGGCTGAAACACCAAAAAGAGCAGTGAAGGTGAGCACAAATGCCTTCCCACCAAGCACAAGCAGGGAATATCATTAAATATCATGAGGTAGCAGCCTCCAAATTGAAACCTGCACAACAAACCATGGGACATTAATGTGAATTAAACATAGAACAATAAAAACTTTAATGCAGAAATTGTAGCATGATTTTTATCCTGATTAAATTGGGTCAATCTCTCAAATATGTAGGTCAGTTTATAGACTTTTTTCAGGTAAAAGTACTCCGTGTTTTTTTTTTTTTTTTTTTAGAAGAAGCCTCAAGCTGTCACTCTGGGTAGAGTGCCATGGTGTCATCATAGCTCACAGCAACCTCCAACTCATGGGCTCAAGCGATCCTCTTCTCTCAGTTTTTTTCTATTTTTCATAGAGGTGGGGTCTTGTTCTTTCTCAGGTTGGTCTCAAACCTGTGAGCTTGAGCAATCCATGCACTTCAGCCTCCCAGACTGCTAGGACTACAGGCGTGAGCCACTGCAGCTGGCCTAAAAGCACTCCCTTGTAATGGGGAATTTACTCAAAAAACAACACGGTAAATGAAACTCATATAATCAAATCACAAAATAGCTTGGGCCTTTACTCAAAGCAATTCAGAAATTTTCCTTTGGTTAATAATTATTAAAGAAAAGGAGAGAAAGCACAGAGGGGAGAGAGATGTAGACAAACCTTTCTCCCTAAGTCAGTCCCATTTTATGAACACAGTGAACTAACACACTATCCATGTATTTGTTTGTATATGATTTTCATACAGTGCATTTATTTGCCATGCCAACTTCATTTTGTCCCCTAGTTTTCTCTGTTACTATTCTCTATTCTGATTCTTACAAAGTAATACTTTCAGTACCCTGATTTCCATTTCTGGAACCACATAAACTGTGGGGTTTATGTACTACTGGCTAGTTTAGTATTGAATAGAAACAGGAGATTTGGTAGAACCTCCAGGAGCAGAAGAACTAAATCTGATGCCTTTTTTATATCTTCTCTCAGACAAAGGTCCTGAGGCGCTCTGAGTAGCACTGCTTCCCTTCCACACACCACCACCGTCACCAAATGTGGCTTTATCTTCCCATTATAATGGTAACATAAACTTCAACTAAAAGACTTCCTTTCCACCTTACATAATGCTTTTTTCATATGCATTACTCAATTTGTGTTCCCACTGCTCCTGAAAGGCAAGAAGGGGAACAGCTCATATAATTTTGCTGAGTAAAACAAGAGGGTGACTGGGTTAAAAAAATTATGATAAAATAACCAGCATACATACCCAAACATCAAACTTTTACAATATGTCAAAATAGTAATTCAATAGGATTTAATTCACATGCAGAATTTAGAAAGCAAAGCTTTAGTGCATACTTTCTCTACAAATTCATCATCTTAGTTGCTATGGATCTTGTAATTTTGTAATATTACTTTAATACAGATTTTGTTTAAGGATCTGAATTACAGTAGAGAATCTGGAAAAAGTTCACCAAAGTACACAAAAGAGCCGAATTGAATTATGAAATGGCTTTACTTGATAAAAGATTGCCCAAGTAAACAAACAGAGCAGAGTTCCTGTTCAAAAGGAAAGTCACTTTGTCTCCATGGAATAATATATTCGTTTGTTTGGTGTTTTATATGTATAAATAAAGTAAATTATAATTAGAGTTTTTCCTAATTATATTTTCCCTTAATACTATATATCAGAGAAATTTTAAACTTTAAAAGGATTAAGGTTTATCAACATTGAATAATCTTTTACAGGGGAAAAAAATGGGGCTTTACAAAACTCAGTTAGTCTCTACTTTAAAAAAGCACTGCTCCCTGCCAGAACAATGGTTAACAGATGAACTTTTGGGCAAGTGGATATGGTGCATGTGTCCCAGACATCTTGTTTCAAGTAGATTTTACCTTAAAGTTATTGAGACATATGGTAAGGACGTCGGCTTTTTAAGTATAACTTGGAGTTGAGTGTATCTTTGCCAGATGGATAGCACTACTTTTGCAACACAATTTATGAAAACATTCATTTTATAGATATTTATCTTAGGATTTGTGAGGAAAGCAATCACCTGATTGCAGCGATTTCATACATCATAAACTCCTTCATTGTGAGTCATCAAAGTTTCGTTCAGGAAAAAAAATATTCAGAGGCTGTGTTTGTGTGTGTGTGTGTGTGTGTATTCCTTGGTACTGAAACTTCAGTTACAATCGTTACCATAATCAGAAACAGATAATTTTAAGTTTTTCTGTACTTTATTCTTTGAAATGAGATCCATCAATAAAATAAGAGGACTCATTGGTACCAAGTAGATGAAACGTCTCCTTTCACAAATAAGAATTAGTATTGTAGTTAGCAACAAGAAAGAAGACCTCAGAAAGAGACCAACTGATCCTTCAGAGATGGGAAGCACTATGTTCAAGTTTACAGGATCTAATTTTGAGCTTCGCAGATCTAGAAATACCATTTTTCCACGCTCTGATTCCCAAGGACTGCCTCAGGCTAACCAAACTCACAAGAGATTAGAATTTGTGAAGGCTGTTTGTTCACTACTGTATACCTGCACCACTCATGGTGTCTACACATGGTAGATGTTCATTTGATCTAAGATGAATAAAGAAAAGAAAATAGAGAGAGAGAAGCAAAAAGAAATTTATATGTAGAGAGAAAATTCCCACATTTACTATTTGGAGTATCTGGAAAGCCAAGACTTCCACTTCTGCTCAAAGTGGAGTAACAGGGACCAGATTTTCTCTCCCACCCAAATAACAACTAAACAAATGAATAAAATACACGAAACAACAGTTTTCAAGACATCAGACTATGAAGGATAATAATACCTGAGAGATAGGAAACAAATGAGACAGCCTATGATTGCCCCTGCTTACTGCCTTGAGAGAGTTTCCAGGCTCAGCTTAGGGAGGGGAAACCCAAGCAGAGCCCTGTGGGCTCCCTGGGTTGAGAAGAAGCTGGGGAGGTGGAGGGTGGGGGTGGGTGCCTGGGAGAGCAAAGCAGCCAGAGTTCACAAGGGAGAGCACCAGGGAAGAAGAGCTTCAGAGAGGGAGAACTCCTGAGACCTCAGAGGGACCCCTCAGGTATTCTGCTGAATCCTGACCAGTGCGTGTCTGTGAAGAGACCATCAAGGCCTGGGAAAGAACCTTGCCAAAAGATTGGAGAGAGCAGTACTCAGCAGTCACATGGGGCTGGGAATGACACCTGTCCCCACCAGCCAAACAGGAAAGCCTCCCAGTTCACAGAGCATTGAGAGGAGTGCTCAGAAGGGTCTTCCCTCAGTGGTAGGGAAGAACTAGCCCTGGACTGAGCATTACCCCAGTCCCACTGTTTAAAAAGAAGACTCAAATGGACGCAAGTGCTTCCATGTAATTTAACTGTGTCCCAGAACAGAGTATCCAGACGGGCAGGTTAATCATCAGGTTGTTTAGTGAGTATGGATAAAAAGGAAGGGGACAGGTGGAATGCTGGCTGGTTCAGCCAGGCAGTGTACTGACCTCCCCTGCCCTACCACAACCTGACACTTCTTCAGAGACCACATGGCCCATAAACACAGCCAGATTGCAAATTTCTAGATTCCAGTATAGGGGCTATATATAGCATAAGTAATTTGGATGACAGATTTTCCCCAAACCTCAATTACGCATGAATGAATGTTTTCAAAACTTCTTGTCACATATTTGCTTGACTTTAGGTAAGCACCTTCATGTTGACCTTCCTAATTTGATCCTTAGAGAGTAACCTTGTCCTTCTATGATAGGGTACATTTATCACATCTACACATTAACTAAGGTTGTGGCTGAAAAGTACCATGACAGACACAAAGGAGTAGTGCTGCATAGATGGGAATGAAAATAGCAGCTGATCTATTAGTTCTTAGGAATATATTCTACTATAGTGTCTACTAAGCTTTGAACATGAGAAAGATCTGACAAATACAAGTTGACTGAATGGACGAATGAATGAATATTTTTAGTAAATGTTGGTTTTAAATGACAATGAAGACATTTTACATTATTTTATTATTAAAAATCCATTTTTAAAATTTTAGCTTTTCTTTTTTTGAGATATTGTTTTATTTTGTATTTAATAAATCATATTTTAGTTACAAGGATAAGATTTTTCTTTTTTACTTTGAAGCACTACTTGCTTCTAAGAATATGTGATAATATATTGTTCGTTACTTTTGAATTTAGTACATTAGAAATTCATCAGTGTGACCTGCAAGCCTGCATTATTCCCAGACTTCACCCTTGAGATCCCAGTTAGGGTCCTTAAACCCTTCTGTCTGTAATGACAGAAAGAAAAAACAAACCAACAAACAAATAAATGAACCTTCACACTGGAAGCTAATAAGATAGCAAGGCCTTTTGTAGGATCTATCAACTCCCAGAGCTTCTCCAAACCCAACCCCCATGTGGGCTCCCACTGGAGTAATGTTTCCAAAATGTGGGCCATGACCTGTGGATCATTAAATCAGTTTAGTGGGTCACTAGATGTAGTGAGTCATTGCCAGTATTTTGAAAACTGAAATAGAATAAAAACAGAATGCATTATACATAGTAAAGGAGTAAATCTTACTGTATGGCAATGTTTTATTTCAGTTATAAATATAAGCCCGCGTGTGTGTCCACGCATGTATGTTAGATAAATATTTTCTGTGTAGATTGTGTCAAAAGTTTGAAATCTTCTGCCTTGAGGGACTCCAAGGCTTCTAACTATCCAGACTCCAGGGTCTGCCTAACTATCCCAGGTGTAGTGGAAGTCAAGAGTCCTCACCCCAGAAGCTACAAAATCCTGGGCAGAGACTCACTTTTGAACCACTGTCAATCAGAGCATAGCAGTGAGTACGCACTGTGAGAAGTTTAGAGCATATGCAAGCTTTGGAGTTAGACTTCGGTGGAATCTCAGTCCTCTCACTAATGAGCTGCCGAACATATAAGGTTAGACAATTAAGTTCCCAAACTCCTTAAAAAAGTACTACATACTTTATTGCTGAATACCTCTATGGTCACCTTCAAAGTACTTGGGAAGCTATGCACCAATGCCAACACCTACCACTCTTCAAAGCAATTTTTGAACTCTTTTCTGGAATGGCCGTTAGAGATGTCATTGTATGAGGTCTGACAATTAAGTTTGCGAACTAATCCTTGAAAAAGTACTACATATCTCATTGCTGAATATCACCATGGTCACCTTCAAAGTATTCCTGCTGGCCATCTGATGACAATAGTGATATTCAGCAATGAGGCATATAGCACTTTTTCGAGGATAAGTTTGCCAACTTAATTTTTCAACCTCATATTTCTATAAAATGGAATTATACTATAGTCTCTTATCTGATAATGATATTATGTGACTTAAATTCAGTAGCACACACAAAGGTCTTAGCACGTTTCCTGGACCACAGTAGGCTCCCAGAAATGGTACATATAATTAAGGTATCTTCACTTGGTAACCTAAGTGAAGATGAGGAATGGAAACAAGATTTTCCAAAGTCTCCTGTGTCAGGTATGTTACGCAATCTTACTTAAATTTCCTTATTTAACATCTGTAAAATGTAAGTGTTGTGTTCCCAAGGGTTAGGAAGGCGAAGCAACTTTTTCATACTGTCACAGATACATAGCAAAGCCAGAATTCAGACCCAAGACTGCTCACTGTAAAATACCGGCAGTATGACTGTCAAAGTGATGATGATGATCATGAAAAGGAAGAAAAATAAGTTATCTTTAAAACCTAAAAAAATGAAATACAACTTCAGTCTCTAGCACATTTCCTTCCATGGTTAATAGTTTCTAGTGTGTATGAACTTGAGTGCAGTAATATCTAGTGTGTATCTCATCAAAACAGTGGTGCTGCCTGTTGAGTGCTATTTAAACACCAGGATAGTCTCTGAGCTAGACCATTAGATCAAGGAGCCGGGGGTTTCTCTTTGTTTATCATTCTCCCAGTGCCTAAAATAGGATTCCTTTTACAAATATTTATTAAATGAGTGAGTGAATCCTTATTCTAGAAAAGTCTGCATTCATTAATTTCAAAAGGACCATGACACATAAGTAGATCCTGGGTCCTTAAAAGAATCAAAATTTATCTGGTAGTATAATGACTGTTGACTAAATACTCATTAAGGCCATATCTACATGAAACTACTTCTTTCTGACAACAGAGTATTGTTTTTCCCCAAAATCTGTATTTCCTTTTTTTGCCTTATTTTACTGAACTATTAAGTAATAGAATAGAAGACATTTGGGACCCTGCAATATAGAGGCTATTTCTTGGGTCTTGGAAATCAGACCCTTGCAGGACTGAAGAATGCTTCCTATCAGTGGTGGTGACAGCTACTTACCTGAGCACTCAGGCGCAAAATATCATGTCAATCAAAGACCAGAAACCTAAAACGTAGAATATAAAAAGAGGAGAAAACATGCATAAATGAAGTGATAGGGTAGATTTGCCTCCATCAAAATTTGTTTGCAGAGAAACTTATGTTAAGCATCATCTGTGGAATGAACCAACAATATCTTCACCACCACCATCATCACCTTTGTCATCTTCATCATAATCATATTTTAAGGAAAGAAATAAGCATCTCCCTTTCTTTATTCAGGCCAAGACAATCTTGCTTGAGGCAGGAGATGGACTAGATAACCTCACTGAGTCCTTGCCTAGTTTATCATTGCATCTTCATAGTCCTTTAGTGATTTAAAGTTCCATGGAACAATAGGGAAACACTGCAGTATGAATACAAGCAAAGGCTGAGAGGTGGATGTCTTTTACAAGTGTGTCAGAAACTTGGGCATTCACTGGTAAAGCTGTTCTTAGAGAAGACATAGGGAACCAGTGATTTCAGGTCTCCATGCCTGCAATTTTGAATCGCTGCCATAAAAAAGAAGTCTATCGATGTCTGGGGAAACTGAAAATGGTCATGGTAAATGGAAGTTGTATGGTTCATTTACTGTTCTAAAGGATTCCATCAGTTCTTCTGTAGGTTATTTTAACTGCAGTTGAAAATGTGAATGTTAAAGTAAGATCCAATAGCAACTACCCAAGACAGGATTAAAAACTATGTTAAATGGTTTATCATTTTTGAAATGCTGGTTAATGTAATGATTTACTAAAGAAATTTGAGTCAATTAAAGAGTTTGTTGCAGGAAATTGTTATAAATCTTTGGGTTTGGTTTTGTTTCACAGTTTTTCACCTTTGAACAGTACAAGAAATTGCTGGGATATGTGTCACTGTCACCAGCATGGGTAAGTGAGAGTATTTATTATACTTAAGTGTGTGTGTTATTTCATAAAGTAAAATCTAGAAACAAAAACCCTTTTGATTCCCCAAGCTCAGCTACTAAAATATGAATTTGAGTTATTCAATGTTCAGCTACTTGTTGAAAGCCATCTTCCTAATAACTCACAATTTGGCCATTTTATAGCTCCCAGTGATGAATTTATGATTATAAGGATATGTCTGGAAAGGCCTCTACATGAGATATGGTCAAAAATATGAAATAAAGAGTACATTTATCAAAGACTCCTTTAAAACTAAAACATGCATATGTTTCCAAATATATTGCACGTATCTATTCATGCAAAAGTCAATATGCCCAAGATCATTTCCTAACAGGTCACTTTTTCAGCTTTTGCTCCAGCTGTAGTAAATATAGGACTTTAGATCCCTTGGGACAGAAATCACTGTGGTCAGATGCAGATTGAAGGGCTTATTTGTAGGAATGACTATAAACAACCCAGCAGGGAGAATAGTGATCTCACGATGACATATCTCAAATATGACCAAAAAATTCACCAGGTGATTTGAATGCTTCCCTCTGTCACTCCCTTCTTTGTTGGTGACTTCTGATTTTTGCTGAACAAGTTCAATTGTATGGTATTCTACAAATGTGTGAACAACCAGAGCACTCAGGAGAGCAAATACACTAACTTCTCCCTCCAAATCTGCAAAACAAAACAGAGCAAAATCTGCCTGTGCCTTTGCAGTTGGCAATGTGCCCTCCAGCCTCTAAGAAAATACCCTTGTTTGCCTGCTGCAGTGTAGCTGGGTCCCAACCAGAGGGGCAGTGTTCTTAGCTTCAGTTCTTTATTTACTTGTAAAGGTTCATTTCAGAATATTTACTCTGCCAAATAGACTGCCCAAGAATAAGTATCTGTTATTTTAAAAATCATACTTGTACCTTTTCTAAGCAGGATCCTATTAAGCAACCTAACAGTATCACTTGCTGTTATCATAAAGAAACTTCTTGTCCAGCCAAGGAGGAGTGGTACCATGAATCTCAATATGTGTTAATTACACTTTAATCTTTCGGTGTCATTCTTAAATTTGAAAACATCTTGGCAAAAAGAAGATTAAAACTTTTACTAGCAAGAGACAATAAAATATGGTCTCCAAAGAGCCAGCTGTTCTTATGTAAGGCATTGGTACCATGTAGAGACAGCAGGTCTTTTGACCTTGAATATTGAAATAGAAAAGCATCTGGCCATTCTGGCTACTATAACCAAATACATGCAGGCTGTATACAGTTTTTCTCTTTTCCTGAACTCATTTATTCAGTTTCTTTTTTATATAGTTGGACACTTAAACAGCTGTTAAATGTCCCCTTGTGCTCTCACATGAAAAGGCTGGGAGGCTGGAAGCTTGACAGTAAATGCAGGTCTCTGGAACAATCTGAGTAACATGATCTACTGATAGTTGATCAATTCTTTGGACAGGAGACTGTTGAACACTGGTTCTGACAGCAAATGTAGCTGAGTTTTATAAAAGAACAAAAAAGTGAATTACTTGGAAGATTGCATATACTGTAATAAAAACTCAAACATCTGGATTTTAGCTTTCCCAGTCAGAAAAGTTTGGAACTAGTTTGTTGTTGTTGTTCTTTCTGCCTTTGGCTTCCATGATGGGAGCCTGAGCTAAGTGAACAAAGTATTTGGTTAGTTATACTATACAAATATGTTCAAAATCATAATAAAGGGGAAATGAAAGGAAAACATCATTAGTTATTTCCTCTCTCCTAGAATCTGTTTGCAAACTTATTCTTCCTTTTTCTACATGCACCAAGAAAAATGGAGTCTGTATAGCTCTTTGCAAAAAGCTTTCACCCATTATTTTAAGCCCCATAATAACTTTATGAGCAGGGGAATTAGATACTATTATCTAATTCCATTTTACAGATTGGATAGATAATAAATATTATCTATCCATTTTACAGATTGGAAAACTGTGGCTCATCAAAGGTTCCAGGGATTTAGACACAGAGCCACAGCTATCACCCAAGGTGCCTTTGTGCAAATTAAGAAATAGTGTCCTTTCTCTCCTCATGGGTGGCTCTGCAGAGGTCCAGCATGGAAGTGGGGTGTTTACTGGATTTCAGCCTCCACTGACTCTTGGATGGGCACTTTTATCTGTGTACCAACTACTATACAAGACAGCTCTGGTCACATAGCCAGTAAGCAGCAGAACCAGGACTTTACCCCTGGATCCTGCCCTCCTTCCATCCTGCCTCCCCTTCTTAGGCTACAGCAGTCCTTTCTGCCTTCTCCCAGGTGTCCTCAAACTACGGCTGTGGGCCACATGCAGCCCGCCTAGGACATTTATCTGGCCCATGGGGTATTTTTGCTGCCACTGCCTGTCCTGCTTAGCAGCCAACTCGTCCCAGGGCTGCAGTCCGGCCCTCCAACAGTCTGAAGGAGGATGAGGCCAGTGAACTGGCCCCTCCTGTTTAAAAAGTTTGAGGACCCCTTCAAAAAACAAAAGTTTGTTTTTTATTCATTCTTTCTCTGGAAAACAACTGATTATTGCCCTATTCCTCTGTGCCAAAAAGCTTAGAAGGGAAAGCTAAGATTGACTAGGTTGTTTGGAGGGCTTGACTAAAATCTAGAACATGCACCAAAAGAAAACTGTATGTCCAGTTCTTATTTGCTATCAGTTAGAAATTTTTGCAAAAGCAAAGAACAACTTTCTAGAATTTTCCTCTAAGTAGACTATTTAAAGGTTTTGCAGAAAACCTATTATCAAAAATAATCACAATCAAAACACACACACAGAGCAGAAAAACAGAGTGAAACAAAGCCCCCAACCTCTGAAACTGATGCTTGAAAAAACTAATTTTTTAGGGCTGAACTTCCACTTCCTCAAGAAGTAGTACTGCATACAGCTAGGAGAAGAATAAAACCAATAAAGAGCCAAGAATCGATCACTCTTATCAAGGGATCAGGGGTTTCTAATATCTTCAAAATAGGAGACTAAAGAGAGAAGGCAGAGTCTAGGAATATGATTATACATCTAAACGTTTCCAGCTATGTTGTTTGTTACCTGAAATTAAGCTCTTTATATAAACAATTTCTTTGTGGTTCTGCTCCTAGAATTTCTTTATATGCCTAATAAGAGAATGTAAGTAGACGTTTTAAAACGAAGCTCTCCTTTTACAATTCAAACTCTCTTTTAATTGTTACATGTGCAGATGTTTTAGTATTCCCCCTTAAATCAGTAAAACAACCTTGCTTTTGGTTAAAGGAAAAAGTCATCGCTGATGGGGTTTTGACATTTTATTTTGAAATTGTTAGGATGTGGTTTGTGGCTTCTGTAATTTCTTCTTTGTGGATTGTCAGCATCTAATCAAGAACTCAAGCTGTTTCAGGGATGTCAGATGGTGCATCTTTGTAGGGTTCCCGTTCTCATGATAACATTCAGCTGCATAGGGTAATATATAGGATGCTTTACCCAGTACATGTGATAACTTATTTTAAAGTATTGATTCATTTAATTTTTCTAGACATATGCCATTGCTGGATTGGGATCCGGACTAACAGAAGCCGTCGTAGTTAACCCTTTCGAGGTAGTAAAAGTTGGCCTGCAAGCCAATCGGAAAACATTTGCAGAGGTAACCATTTAATGTTTCCTACTGTTGAGGGTACTCACAAAGTTATTTTTAAGTTTACCTGTAAAATGATGGACCCAGCTCTTACTTACTTATTAAAGCTGCCATTGTAAATCATTATTAGGGAGGCATCTTAAGAAAAAGTCAAATATCTTCCGTAAAGAGAGTGTTAACAAAAAAGTCCCAAGGTCGAACAGACAAACACATGTTTGTAGATTGATATTTTAGAGCTCTAGTGTAATCTGTAATGACTAATTTAGAAATGTTTTCCTGACTTCTGGCAAAACTTCTCTTTCATATTGAACTGGAATAGACTACAGCAAAACCACTGAGGAGATAATAGTATTGTGCTTTTAAAAAAGAACTAAGTCATTTTTTGAAATGACCTCACTCCTTTCCCTACTCCACTCACCAGCCCCCCAAAAGAATCTGTCCAACTTGTCTTTCAGTTAAATGTGAGTGAGGTTACTGAGCCTGTGCAGATGTCACCGCCTGGACGATGATGGGTCTTGACATTTAATCACTAGTACATGATGTTCTATGGAGACAGCTTCCCTGGGTTGTGTGCTGCCTTCTCTTCCTTCCAGTTGTCTAATAATCCCCTTTAAACCGCCATGTCCAATTGTTCTTGTTTCATTCTCTTAGGTGCCAAGCACAAGGGAAGGGGAAAAACAAGGAGATTGGCATTCTAGGTTCTTTCTTAGCACTTTAACTTAATTCTACAACTGGGGAGCATGTGGTATAAATTGGTTTGAAGTATCTGCTGACCTGGATTTTTCTGCAGAAAAGTTCCCCTGCCTACTGCTTAAGCAGCTGCTGATGGGTGGAGACCCCTCACCCCCACCCGCTTCCTGCCTGCTGATACTGCCTGAGAGCTTCCTGGCAGCTTCTTGGGCAGGGGTGTGGGGAAAGGCGAGGGGGGCTCTGCTCACCTGTAGCTGTCAAGTCCTGGAGGGATAGGGCTGGGCTGTTACAGCAGATGGTATCTACTCAGATGAAGTCAGTCTTAATTCGGGGGAAATTTTTTTTTTTTTAAGTTTCAAAAGGTTGTCTTTAACAGTATATAGCACTTCAGAAAAGGTTGAAAATCTCTGTCTTCCTCTAGTTTTTGTTTTTGTTCTGCTTTCTCTCCATTCCTGCTTGAATAAAAGAAAATGACAGTGAGGAATAGCGGCAAGAATAAGACACTTTTAAAAAATTTCCTATCAATATGAAGTATTAAAAACAGTTCCCATGGATTTCCAAAAACTTGGTTTGCTAGCTTGGGAGGATTACCCACTAGAAAGAAATTTGGAGATCCCTATCCAATGCTTCCACGTATGCATTGGGAAGGAAGCTTGCCTTGGAGCAGCAAGGAGAGGGCAGAGAAGTAAGCAAAACCTCCCACTGCAGTTTTTAATGGCGTCAGCAGCGAACCCCAGGGACCCAAATCAGACAGAGCGCCAGGAATGAAAATCATACTAGTTATCAGAGTGCTTCTGCTCATGCCTAATGTTCCTTTTCTCTCCTCTGCCTTCAAGGAGATGCTCCACTGGGTCAAGTAAGAGCTGCTGATGTTTTGCATGTGCTGAGGCCTTCCTAGAATATGATGAGCACCCTGCCAGGCAGAGGCAAGCCTGTGCTGCATGTGGGCATGCCCGCCTTCATCTACACAAGTGCGGTCTGTGTCAATTGTGTACATCCCACCATGTTTGTAACCAGCAGTGTTACAAACAGCAGCAGAGGGAGGCTATTGGGGGTCCTAGATATATTACAAAATATTTTTAATATTACTTCAACCAGTGAGAACTTATCAAAGTAGTGATCACACAGGCATCAGCATTGATTTAAAGCAGCTAGCAAAATTTAGCAGCTAACCTGAGGTGGTGTTCTGATATGGCACATTGTAGTCACCAGTGATCGAAACAGTAGTTCGCAGTTGGTAAGTAGTTAGTGGCCAGTGGTTCACGCAACATAAAGTCTTGTGACTATGCCTATTGGAAAAATGTCTGCGAGAGACAGATGATATGATAAGAATAGAAAACTTGGTTCTAGTTGTTTAAAAAATAACTACTGTGCTTGCCACCATCTCATAAGTTTTTATCTGGGGCCCGCTAATGCCACAGCCTTCCTCCATCGACAGGCACCTTTCCTGTACCCTACAAGGGGCTACCCTTTGCTTCATCTACAGCTGTGTTGATTTAACTCAAGTTTTGGTGTGCTCACTTCAGCATCTGTATGGCCAAGAATGATCACTTCCTTCACTCCAAAGCTTTGTGTGTTGTCAAGTACAAAAGTGAGGCAAAGGCTGGATGTGGTGGTTCATGGCCATAATCCTAACATTCTGGGAGGCAGAGGTGAATAGATTGCTTGAGCTCAGGAGTTCAAGACCAGCCAGAGACATTATCTGGGCATTGTGGCAGGCACCTGTCGTCCCAGCTACTTGGGAGACTGAGGCAGGAGGATCACTTGAGCCCAAGAGTTTGAAGTTGCCGTGAGCTCTGACACCATGGCAGTCCACCAAGAGTGACAAAATAAAACTGTGTTCCAAAAAACAAAAAAAAAGTGAAGCAAAAAGAAAAAGAAAGAGAAAGAGGATGGGGAAAGGAGGAAGAAAGGAATTCATTGAACGGTCGCTGCATTTAAAGATTATACTGTTTTTTTTGTTGTTTTGTTTTGTTTTGAGACAGAGCCTCAAGCTGTCCCCCTGGGTAGAGTGCTGTGGCATTACAGCTCACAGCAACCTCCAACTCCTGGGCTCAAGCGAGTCTCCTGCCTCCGCCTCCCAAGTAGCTGGGACCACAGGCGCCCGCCACAACTCCCGGCTATTTTTTGGTTGCAGCCGACATTGTTGTTTGGCGGGTCCGGGCTGGGGATTCAAACCCACCACCTTAGGTGTACGTGGCTGGCGCCTTAGCCAGTTGAGCTATAGGCACCGTGCCTAAAGATTATACTCTTTAAAAAAAAATTAATCTAAGTATAAAAATAACACATATTCATGTTATAAAACACCAAAAATCTATACATTTCTTATACATGTATATGTGTGTATAAATGCATCAAAAATGACCTAGACTCTAGAGCAGTGCTATCCAATAGAAACATACCGTGAACAATATTTTCAAGTAGCTATATTTAAAAAACTAAAAGAAACTGGTGAAATTAATTTAGTAATATATTTTATGAAACATAATATATCCAATTTTTTCTTTAGATTTTATTTCTTAAAGTAATTTTAGGTTCACAGCAAAATGTACCAAAAGGTAAAGTGATTTCTGGGAAACTCCCTGTCCGTACACACACAGCCTTCTCTAGGGTCAACATCCCCCACCAGAGCAGTTCTCACCACTAGTGAACCCACACTGATGCGCCATTATCACCCAAAGTCCATAGTGTACATTAGGGCTCCCCTCTGCTGTTATACATCTTATAGGTTTGGGCAAATGTATAATAATGACATGTATCTACCATTATACAGAGTGTCCCAAAAGCTACCCCTAAAGTCACCATACAGAGGAAAATGGAAAACTGTAGGTAAGTGTACTTTATTTACAAAATATCCATTACAGAATTTTATAAAATATTTACGAAATGTTCTATATGTGTTGGCCAACTCTTTGTAAACTTTTGTAATGAGTATTTTGTAAATAAAGGTACATTTAGCTATAGTTTTCTGTTTTCTCTATGAATAGTGACTATAGGGATGGCTTTTGGGACACTCTGTAGTCTCATGCAGAGGAGTTTCACTGCCCTAAAAATCCTCAATACCCTGCCTGTTCATCCCTCCCTGAACCTTAATCCCTGGTGACCACTCATCTCTTTACTGTCTCTATAGTTTGTCATTTCAACATGTAATTGATATAAACATTATATGGGATAATTGCTTTCCTTTTTTACACTACATTTTAAAATCTGGTGTGTATTTTACGCTATAGTACATCAACTAGAACATTTCAAGTGCTCAGTGCCACTTGTGTGTGGTCATATCCATATCAGACAGTTCAGGTATACCGGAATTCATACCAGATTCATACTTCTGTAAAGGAGATTGGACTGGGGGAGAAGGTAAGAGTTTAAGAGAAAGGTTTTGTGTAGTTGAATATAGTGTATAGTGTTTTGTTTTAGAGACCAAGTCTCACCAGTTGCCCTGGAGTTGAGTGCCATGGCATCACAGCTAACAGCAACATCAAACTCTTAAGCTCAAGTGAGCCTCTTGTCCCAAGCTCTCTAGTCACTGGACTACAGGTGCCTGCTACAACACCTGGCTAGTTTTTCTAATGTTAGTAGAGATGGAGTGTCACTCTGGCTCAGGCTGATCTTGAATTCCTGAGCTCAGGCAACCCACCTGCCATTGCCTCCCAGAGTTCTGGGATTACAGGCGTGAACCAATGAACCCAGGTAGTTGAATGTTTTAACGTGAGAGTGTCTTCATGTACTGTCCAAGAACACTTACTTTAAAATGTTATACATGCTCATTATAGAAAATAAAGACAAGCATATAATCCAAAAGAAATGCTATAATGGTTCCTTTAGGATTGCCCTGCCTTGGGAAAACCTTCTCCACTGGCCCACATTGGGGCTCAAACTTTCATAATTCAAGTACCATGGCTTCCTTTATGATAGCAGGAATCCCATTTTTTCCTACTCTATAATGTCTAACAAAGTTTAAACCCTCTGCACCAATCATTGAAGAACATAAATAATCAGAGCTATCAAGAGCAGGAAGGCAATTGGAGAACTGGAAAAGCAGACCCAAGGTTTGGGGCAAGACACACAGAAGTTCTCATCACACTTTTTACCATTTTCTAACAGTCTGGCCTTGAGCAAGGTACTTGCTGTTCCCTGATTGATAAAATGATGGTGATGGGTCCCTCTTCCTTACAGCGAGGCATTTCTGGGTAGTGGTTAGAGGAAACAGCCCTGGAGGGAGATCTCAGTTACCGACTATGTGACGGCCTCATGTTTCCTACCTGGACCATAACCCAGTTTCCTCTTTTATTAGGAAAAAATAATGGTAATAGCCA